GCTATTGAGTTCAATTCCTGGTCAGGGCACATACCAATCGGGATGCAACCAACAGATGTTTCACTCTCTCTCTCCTTTCCTCTCTCTCTAAAATCAAAAACATATCCTCAAATGAGGATTTAAAAAAAGTTCTAGAGATTGATGATGGTATTCGTTGTACAACAATGTGAAGGTATTTAATGCCACTGAATTATACACTTAAAGTGGTTAAAATGGTAAATTTTGTTATGTATATTTTAATAAATATACATAAAAATGACAGTATTATAATTTTATGTAGTTAAATGAAACAGTAAACATATATTTTATTTTAAAACAAGTCATGAAAACAGTGGTAACTTAATTCATAAAATCAATCAGGAAATTTAGAAAGTTTAAATCATGAGAAATTTAACCCTGGTCTTGTACAAACCAAATTATTATGCTGACATTACTTTTTTTTTTTAATTCAGATTATAATTTTCTCAGTTTCATTCTTCTTTTAAAACTTGTCTTTTTTTTATCCTCACCCGAAGACATTTTTCCATTTTTTGTTCAGATGGAGCGGGAGGGAGAGAGAGAGAGAAACATCAGTGTGAAGGGACACATCGAGTGGCTGCCACCCGCACGACTAACCAGGGCTGAGGACAAACTGCAACTGAGGTACGTGCCCTTAGCGGAAACCGAACCCGGGTCTCTCTGTACTGCAGGCCGACGCTCCAACCGCTGAGCCAAACCGGCCAGGGCTTAAAACTTGTCTTTATTGTTGAAAGTATTACAGATGTCCCTCCTTTTCTCCCCCATAGACCCCCTCCTCCCTGTTCTTACCCTCCTCCTGCTTTCCCCATACTATTGTCTGTGTCCTGCTGACATTACTTTTATATGGTAAACTAATTTTTTTTCAGTCTTTAAATTGTATTTATTTATTTGGTAAACTACTTTTTAAAGACCCTTAATCATGCCAAAAGCTCCTATATCTTGGAATTAAAGCTTACTCTTATTTTGTAACAAAGGCTATTATGTACATGTACTTCTTATTTTTTTTCTTTTTGTTAATCCTCACTTGAGGATATTTTTTCATTGGTTTTTAGATAGAGTGGAAGTGAGGGAAGGAGGGAGAAAGAGAGAGAAACATTCAGGTGAGAGAGACACATCGATCTGTTGCATCCTACATGACCCTGACCAGGGCTGGGGATTGAACCTGCAACCCAGGTATGTGGCCTTGATCAAGAATTGAACCTGAGACCCTTTGGTCCTCAGGCCAACACTCTAGCCACTGAGCCACACCAGCCAGGGCTGTACATATACTTTTGAGTGACCACACACATTAAAAAGTGCAGTCAAATAACTTTTTGTTTGTTTTAGACATTTTACTAGTTATTTGGACTAAATATTCCTAGCGTGTGCACCTACAAACAAGTGTTTTGAGGTGTTTGGGTTTGGGGATTTTTAAAAATATACTTAATCTTTAAAATTTCCCAGGAGAGTGAATAAGAGAGAGAGGAACAGAAAAAGTGAGAAGCACCTGGCTTTAGACCAGTATGAAATTGTCATTGTAAAAGACTACTTACGTTTCTGCTGCAAGGAGAGAGCAAAAAGTTTAGATCCAGGAAAACAGAAGAAACCACATCACAACTGGTTTAGACAGTAACTTGGGCCCTTGACAATCTTGTCAAGCCATAAAATTAGAAAACCAGCACTTATTAATCACCAAAGGATGGAAATGAAGGAGTAGAGTGCTTCCTACATTAAATAAAATGGTTTATCTTTCAATAAACAAGCTGATCTCTTCTTTGTGGAAGTTTCTTTGATATTTTTCCCTGAGGTATCAGTTAAATGAACAATCTTTTCAATGTCAGAAGCTCCTCAAAATGGCCTCTGCAATTCCAAACTGTCACTGGTGAAACTGTACCAGTTAGAGAGCTAAGTGTACAAGTTGGTGGTGTTATAGTCAGAAAACATGCTGCAGGTAAATGTTTGACCAGGAAGAGGCATAGTTTTAAAAGAATCCATGGGGCCCTGGCCAGTTTGGCTCAGCGGTTAGAGCATCAGCCTGCAGTCCGGAGAGGCCTGGGTTCTGTTCCCACTAAGGGCACGTACCTCGGTTGTTGTCTGTCCCCGGCCCTGGTTGGGTCATGTGGGTAGCAACCATTTGATGTGTCCCTTTCATATCGATGTTTCTCTCTCTCTCTCTTCCTCTCTCTCCCTCCCACTCTATCTGAACAAAAAATGGAAAAATGTCTTCGGGTGAGGATAAAAAAAAAAAAGAATCCATGGGCCCGGCTGGTGTGGCTCAGTGGACTGAGCATCCTCCTATACACCAAGAGGTCACCAGTTCCATTCCTGATCAGGGCACATGCCCAAGTTTTGGGTTCAATCCCCAGTAGGGGGCGTGCAGGAGGCAGCTGATCCATGATTTTCTCTCATTGATGTTTCTCTCTCTCCCTCTCCCTTCCTCTCTCTCTAAAAATCAATAAAAACATTTTCTAAAAGGACCCATGGAACAGAATGGCCCATAGGATGATGCTTGTGTAATTTTATTTCTCTGGAGCTTGGCCAAAGGCCAATCAATCACTATCCATTAGGGAGGGCCATATATAACCTGCTAACTCTGGGCAGACTAAACTTAACAAAACAGTCTCAGGGACCCAAGGATAAGATTGAGGGAGATAGCTTTACAAGGATTTGAACTAGTGACCTAAGACAAAGCATGTTCAAAGGACACTCAAGCCAGCTGGAGCATGGACTTAACAGGTCTATGCCTATCTCTCCCTACAGAATTTTCATCTTCAAGAAATAACAAGCCCTGGCCGGTTTGGCTCAGCAGTTAGAGCGTTGGCCCTCAGACCAATGAGTCTCGGGTTCAATTCCAATCAAGGGCACATACCTTGGTTTTGGTTTGTCCCTGGTGCTGGTGGGGTCACACAGGAGGCAACCAGTCGATATGTCTCTCTCGCATCCATGTTTCTCTCTCTCCCTCCCTCCCTCTCTCTCTCTTTCTCTTTCTCTCCCTCCCTCTTACTCTATCGGATAATGGGTGAAAAAGTGTCCTTGGGTGAGGATTTCAAAAAAATAAATAAATAAATAAGTACTGTGGAGAAAAGGGAATACTCATGCACTGTTGGTGGGACTGTTAAGTGCAGCCACTGTGGAAAACAGTATGGAGGTTCCTCAGAAAATTAAAAATAGAACTACCATGCGATCCAGAAATTCCACTTCGGTGTGTTCATCTGAAAGAAATGAAATCACAAACTTGAAAAGATATATGTACCCCTATGTTCACTGCAGCCTTATTTGCAATAGCTAAGATGTAGAAGCATTGATGGATGAATGGATAAACTGTGATATGTCCAGGCCAGTGTGGCTTAGTTGGTTGAGCATCCTCCCATGCACCAAGAGATCACCAGTTCAATTTTTTTTTTATCCTCACCTGAGGCCTTTTTTTTCTTTTGATATTTTGTTCAGATAGAGTGGGAGGGAAAGAGAGAGAAAGAGAGAGAGAGAGAAACCTTGACGTGAAAGGGACACATCGAGTGGTTGCCACCACACGACCCAACCAGGGCTGGGGACAAACTGCAACCAAGGTATGTGCCCTTAGCGGGAACCAAACCCGGGTCTTTCCAGACCACAGGCCAATGCTCTAACTACTGAGCCAACCCGGCCAGGGCACCAGTTCAGTTCTTGCTAAGGGCATTTGCCTGGGTTTCTGGCTCAATCCCCTGTAGGGGATGTGCAGGAGGTGGTGTGTGTGTGAGTGTGTTTGTGTGATGGAATATTAGACATAAAAGGGAAATTGTCATTGTGACAACATGGATGAACCTAAAAAGCATTATTTAAGTGAAACAACCAGAGGGAGAACAATAAATACCATATGATCTCACATATATGTGAAATAAAAATAAAACGTAAACTCAAAGATTCAGAGAACAGATTAGTAGTTGCCAGAAGTAGGGGTAGGGCATGGGTAAAATGGCTGAAGGGGGTCTAAAGGAACAAACTTCCAGTTATAAGTCCTAGGGATGTAATATACAGCATGGTGACTATAGTTAACAATACTGTAATGTATATTTGAAAGTTGCTCAGAGAATATATTTTAAAATTTCTCATTACAAGAAAAGCATTTTTTTTTATCCTCATCTGAGGACATTTTTCCATTTTAGTTCAGACAGAGTGGGAGGGAGAGAGAGGGAGAAAGAGAGAAACATCGATGTGAAAGGGATACTTCGAGTGGCTGCCTCCTGCACCACTCCAATCAGGGCTGGGGACAAACTGCAACCGAGGTACGAGCCCTTGACTGAAATCGAACCCGCGACTCATTGGTCCTCGGGCTGATGCTCTAACCACTGAGCAACCAGCCAAGGCAAGAAAAACATTTTGTACATATATGTGGTAATAGATGTTAATTAAATTTATTGTAGTGATTATTTCACAGTATACACATATATCAAATCATGTGTAGACCTAAAACCAATACAATGTTATATGTTAATTATATCTCGATTTTATTATTTGCTTGTTTGTTTGTTTGTTTATTGGTTAATCTTCACTTGAGGATGCTTTTCCATTGATTTTTAGATAGAGTGGAAGGGAGGGGGAGAGAAAGAGAGAGGGAAAGAAACATTGATGTGAGAGAGACACATCAATTGGTTGCCTCCCCGAACTACTCTGACCAGGACCAAGGATCAAACCTGCAACCCAGGTACATGCCCTTGACCAGGAATCAAACCTGAGACCCTTCGGTCCAAGGGCTGATGCTCTCTAACTGCTGAGCCAAACTGGCCAGGGCTATTATCTCTCAATATTAAAAAGAATTTTCATCTTATAAACAAGCACTCAAGAACTAGACAAATAGACCATAGAATAAGTATTAGAAGGCTAGAAAGTAATTTTACCAAGGAATGATACAAATCAAATCAGATAATCAAAACAACTCCTAGAGGCCTTATTCATAGTAAAACAAAATAAACTCAGTGCAAAAGGGTTTCAACAAAATATCTGAGCTCAGTTCAGTGTGAGCTTGCCTTCTGGGCATAGACACGGTGACACTTCAAGCAGATAGAGACACATGGGCCTCAGATGCACTCACTATTACTGATTCAAGGTTCCCTCATTTGAGATAGTGAGGGCTTCCACTTAGTCTTGGTTATCTCCATTTCTGTCAATGTCTTCCAGCCAAAGGCCACCAGGAACTCCTCTGCAAGAGAACAAGAGGGGTTTATTTCTCATTGCAGCTAAGGAGAATGCACACCACAGGGGAACCATGAGGCAACTCAGTGAAAGGATATTGAAAATAATTTCTATGTCAGTGTTCATGTTAGGTGTTTGGGGGGGAGGGTCGAGGAAATGGGCTTTGCTCTGGATTGAATGCTATCAGGAAGCAGTGGTAATTATATGATTGGGTAGCTTAATAAATCTTATCTGTAAGGCAGGAAGAATGAATGAAGGCTAATGTGGTTAGCAAAGACATAGCAGTCACTCATATGAGCCAGGATAGGAGGATGATTGGTCATTTGGGGAGGTTTGGACAATGCTCATATTTTAGTCTGTGGTCACACCTGATTATTGAGTAAGGTCTTATTTTCTGGCTCTGTACAGTCACATAGTGACCTTGTCTGATGTTGGTGTTCTGTGAAACTGGTCACATTCAAGAGGAGAATACCAAAGCCTATGAGTACTAGGCCAGCTCCTGGATGTCAAGGGCTATTTTTCTCTTTTTTATAGTCTAATTTAATAATATTGTATGCAAATAACTGTCTAGTTATTATTATTGTTAGTTAGTAGATTAACAAGTGAATGTGAATAAAAACCAAACTATCTGTTATATCATTCCACTTATAAGAGGAACTAAAAGAGTCAAATTCAGAGACAGAAGGTAGAACAACGGTTGTAAGGGGCTGAGAGAGGGGAATGAGGAGTTAGTGTTCAATGTGGACAGAGTTTCAGTTTTGTGAGATAAGAAAAGTTCTGTTGATGGATGATGGTGATGACTGCACAACAATGTGAATATATGTAATGCCATTGAACCATACACTTTAAAACATGGTTAAAAGCCCTGGCTGGTTTGGCTCAGCAGTTACAGCGTCGGCCCACAGATCAAAGAGTCTCAGGTTCGAATGCGATCAAGGGCACACACCTCAGTTGCGGTTCAGTCCCTAGCCCTGATCAGGGTCATGCAGGAGGCAACCAATCGATGTGTCTCTCTCACATCGATGTTTCTGTTTCTCTCTTTCTCTCTCTCCCTCTTCCTCATACTCTACCTGAAGATAAATGGAAAAATATCCCTAGGTGAGGATTTTTAAAAAAAATATATTTAAAACAATAAATTTTATGTTGTGTGTACTTTACCATAATTTTAAAAGTAAAATATGTGTAAAATATTTGAGGCAACTATTAAGTCGTACCACTGATGTAATATTTTATTTTCTTGATTTATTTTTTTAGTTTTAAAACAAAAATTAACAAGTTAAAAAAACTAGTATCAATTTTAAAATATTAGTCAAATACATACTTCTTATATGAACTAAAATCAAACAAAAATAATCACACCTCCCAGTTTGCACTGTTTCTCTCCCACTGTTTTACACATAAGGAATAAATGTGGTCACATATATAATAACAAAAATAAAGTAATTCCAATTCTGTTTCTTTGGCCTTCAAGTCATTAGGCTATCGTTTATTTCAAGTCTTCTATTTAAACCCCAGAATATGTACTATCACATGGATTAGAGACACAAACTGCCCTTGAATGTAGCTCAAATCATTCTAAATTGTTAGTCTCACTCTTGAAATGAATGCTTGTTGGCCTGTGTTTGAGAGGAGGAAGGTGGCTATGAGTGTTCTCTCAATTAACTTTCATGTAGGACAAAAGGTTTCAGTTCATTAAAGGGTAAGTAATAAAAACCTGTGTGTGTATCATTAAAATTCATAGTAACCACAACAATTGTTTAGAATTTAGATGAATGGGAAGTTTTTTTCAGGGGGTAGTATTTTATCAGTGTCATCGTGTAGAATTGCCAGCATATAGTGATGACCAACCTTTACTTGGTGTTATTGTTTTTCTCTGTAGATACACCCCTTATTGCCCACATCTTGAGCAGAAGATTCCACCACCCATCCTTGGTCAGCCGCCACATTGCTTGCAGAGGGAACAGCACATGCAAAGGCCCTAAGGTGAGAGCATGGGGAGCAAAAGGCCTGGCAGCTGGGGCAGAGCAAGCAAGGGAAGAGGAGAAGCTCAGGAATAGGAGGGCATCAGGTAAAGCCTTAAAGATCACACTGAGGATTTCAGCTTTCACTCTGAGTGATGTGCAGAATGTCTTGTTGAGGACAGGCATGTCTTCAATATACCTGATGACACAGAAGATTCACATAGGAGATAAAGGTATCACTCATATAAGGGATGCCTGGAGAATAAGCAGCAGTTGCCAGATGAGGCAATGATAAAATGTCCCCTTGGTGGTTCAGGTGCTGTAAAGGGTGACCTTGTTACATGGAAATTTCACCCCTGGAGGCCCATGCTAGAAATTATGAATGTCCCCACAACAAGGCGCCCTCCAAAAAAGATTTCTGGAGGGAGGTTGTAACCCTTGTAACTAACTGCAAAGACTTATCTTCAGATGAGAATGTAGCCAGGTTCATGTCCTCCCATCTCCTCATGGGATGTCCCTCTTCTGGGACAGGAAATTCAGGTGGGTTTTGGAATGGAAGAAAGGAAGTCTTCTCCCAAATTCATAGCCACCAGTCTGGTCCGTCCAGTCCAGCATCAAAGAGCCCCTGGAGGCTCTAATGGGGAAGGACTGCTTCTCTTCAAGGAGATGGCCAGGGTGAGTCATGTCCTGGACCTTCCCACTGCTCTCTCCCTCTTCTCAGAACCACTGATGGCAGCAGAGGGGTAGCAGCCCAAGCAATGGGGGCAGAGCCCCAGCTTCCCAAGGGCACTCTGTCTGGACCTTTGGCCACACAGTGGGCTCCAGCAGCAATAGCAGCCACAGACAATGGGATACTTCTGGAGATTCCTCAAGCTTTCCAGGGTCCTATCCTGCAAACACCTGCGTCCAAGATTGGTTAGGGTGACTGAGTTGTGGATTTACTACAGGCAGGCAGACAATCTTGGGATGGGGATTAGGGGCCCAAGGCAATTAAATAGAAATATTAAAAGATGTGCAAGGCTTTTTTTGGTGTGGGGGAAATCCAAGCTGTTTCTGTCAGCATGATGTCATCCATGTAGTAGACCAGTGTGATATCCTATAGGTCAAGGTCACTGTGCACTATGTTGGTGCTCAGAGCCAGAGAATGGATAGATACATCCTAGGGCAGCATGAGGTCAGGTGTAAACCCCAGGCCCTAAGGGTCATTTACTCATTTTTGGCCAAAGGCCTTAAAGGCTTGCTTGCTGCAGGGATGTGCCTATTTCTCCTGACCCTGAAGATGCCCTTTCCTTTTTTTCAAACTGAGCAATGTATTTAAATTTTGTATAACATTTTGTTTGGAGTAGGGACCTCTCCTCTTCCCATCTTGGTAACCCAAGGATCCTTGAGACAGCATCCCGGTGGTAGCCAGCCTCCAAGACAGGCCCTAATGATCCTTCTTTACTGGTCTCCATGGTCCTATGTCACACTGAACAATGTTGATCTGTGTAACCAATATGATATTGCAGAAATGAGAACATGTGACTTCCAAGGCTAGGTCACAAAGGTATTGAACTTCCACCTTGCTCTCACTTGAATCACTCACCTGAGGGAAGCCAGCCACCGTGGTGAGGAACTGAGACTCCTGCCAATAGCAAGCCATCTTGGGAGGAGACCCCCAAGCCCCATCAAAGTCTTCTGGTGATGTGGCTGCAGTGACATTTCTTTTTTATTGATCTGAGAAAGGAAAAGAGAAAGAAAGAAAAACATCCATTTGTTGTTCCACTAATTTTTTTAACTTTCATTTATTTATTTTTTTAGAGAGGTGGAAAACAAGAGAGACTGATTTGTTGTTCCACTTATTTATGTATTCATTTGTTGTTTCTTTTTTTATTGATTGATTTTAGAGAGAGGGGGATGGGGGGAGAAAGAAAGAGAGAAAGAAACATTGATTTATTGCTCCACTCATCCATGCATTCATTGGTTGCCTACTGCATGTGCCCTGACCAGAGATCAAACCCACAACCTTGGCATATCGGGGCAATGCTCTAACCAACAAAGCTACCCAGCAAGGGCCATTGGTTGCCTCTTGTATGTGCCCTGACCAGAGCTTGAACACGATACCTTGGTGTATCAGGATGATGCTCAAACCAACTGAGCTACCTGGCCAGGAAGTAGTGATATCTTTTATTTATTTATTTATTTTATTTATTTATTTATTTATTTATTGCATTTATCTTCAGAGAGAGCGAGAGGGAGAACGGGAGGAAGAGAGACAGAGAAACATCGATGTGAGAGAGACACATCAACTGGCTGCCATCCACACAACCCCAACTGGGGCCGGGGACAAACCGCAACTGAGGTACCTGCCCCTAGCGGGAACTGAACTTGGTACTCTCTGGTCCGCGGGCCAACGCTCTAACTGCCAAGCCAAACCGGCCAAGGCTAAATTTTTTTTTCTTTATTGATATTAGAGAAAGAGAGAGGAAGGGAGAGGGAGAGATAGAAACATCAATGAGAGAGAACATCAATTGGCCACCTCCTGCATGTCACCCACTGGGGATCAGGCCCACAACTTGGGCATGTGCCCTGACCCAGAATCAAACCGGCGACCTCTTAGTGCATGGGTCGATGCTCAACCACTGAGCCACACTGGCTGGGCAGGATGTAGTGATATCTTGACTGTATCTTGTGAGAGACCCTGGACAGAACCACCCAGCTAACCTGCTTCCAAATTCTTGACCCACAGAAACTATGTGAGATTTTATATACTATCTATTTTTATTTTAAGACACTAAGTTTTGGTGTAATTTGTCACTACAACAGTTCTTCTCCCCAATTAACTACCCTTTGAGAAGCCACCTTCTGACCTTCTTGCAGACCCATTCTGCCTTCCCCCGGCCCCAGGCATGGGCATTGTAGATGTGAGCAGTACAAGATCCCCATTCCCCACAGACTCAGGTCCCTGGGTGTGGGCTCCAAGCCCACTAAAGTTTACATCCCTTGCCGACCACAAAGGCTTTCATATTCTGGCGCTTTAAGCCAAGAGGTATCAGTGAGCCTAGGGAATGTGGGAGTTGAGTGCCAGCAGCAGACTCTTTATCCATACCCTGACCTAATCAGAATGATTTCCTGAATGACTATATAGTCTCAGGAGTACATGTGAGACCCTTTCTAATTTCCAGTGATATAGAATTTTTCCTATACTTCAGTTTGACTATTTCAGTGGGAAACTGAGAAAGGACTAAAGAAAAAAAAAAAATTGGAATGGAAAATTACTAAAACCCTGAGTTACAATATCATCATACCCATGAGGGAAAGAAGTCACTCTAGGCCAGTGGATGGCAGGGGGCTCTGGTGTCAGAGTGAGTGCCCTGCCACAGAGCTATTATTGGCCAAAATGGCAGAGATGACCTCATTATTGTGATGATCTCGTTGTGATGACATCACTGATGTTTCCACAAGAAGTCATTTTATTAGTTGACCTCCCACAGGGCAGATTGTATTAGTTATCAGAGTATTTCAAGATGCCCTGGCCTTTAACCCTCTCTCCTTGTGAGGGAGCTTTTGTTTATGAACACCCTACTGTATGTGCTGGGCATTGTGCTGAAGGGTGGCAGAATATGTCACCACTTTGGCATAAGAATTATTGAGCAAAAGGCACTTAAAAAAAACAGCTGGTACAAGAAGGGCACGCTTCCTGAAAGCAAATGAAACTCCCATGTGAAAGATGCTTTCCCTATAATATACCAGGAGGAAAGATTCTTATCACCAGAGATGTGAGGTTGAGGCCAAGAGAAATTTGTATAAACAGACCTTGTTTAAAAAAAAAAGAAAGAAACTTTTGCCCAGCCATTGTGGCTCAGTGGTTGAGCGTCTACCCATGCACCAAGAGGTCACCAGTTCGATTCCTAGGTTGTGGGCCCAATCCCCAGTTGGGGGCACACAGGAGGTGGCCAATCGATGTTCTTTCTCATCAATGTTTCTATCCTCTCTCTCTCTAAAAATCAATAAAGAAAAAAAAATTTTTTTTAACTTTTGCCCAGCCGGTGTGGCTCAGGGGTTGAGCATTGACCTGTGCATCAGGAGGTCCCCAGTTTGAATCCTGGTCAGGGCCATGCCTGGGTTGCAGGCTTGATCCCCAGTAGGGGGCGTGCAGGAGGCAGCCAATGGATCATCAAGGTTTCTCTCTCTCCCTCTCCCTTCCTCTCCGAAATCAATAAAAATATATTTTTAAAAACCTCTTATCTTTAGTCTCCCCATATATTAGTTACTTTTCCACAATAGCCTTTCTTCATTCAACCTAATATATAAACACTTAGGCCTTGTCACTTCTCTGGGTCTTCAATTTCCTGTGGGGGCTCCCATGTATAAATAAAAATCTATACAGTTGACCCTGAACAATGCAGGGATTATGGGACACTGACCCCACCACATAGTCAAAAATCTGTATATAACTTCTAACTCCCCCTCAACTTTACTAATAGCCTACTGCTGACCAGAAAATTTACCAATTACATAAGCAGTCGATTAACACGTTTGTATAATGTATATATTATATACCATATTCTTATAATAAAATAAGCCCGAGAAAATAAAATGTTATTAAGAAAATCATAAGGAGCCCTGGCCAGGGTGGCTCCGTGGTTAGAGCATCGGCCTGTGCACCAAAGGGTTGTGGGTTCAATTCCCAACAAAGGCACATACCTAGGTTGTAGGTTCGATCCCCAACCCCAAATGAAATGCGTGCACTAGGCAACCAATTGATTTGTCTCTCTCACATCAATGTTTCTCTCACTCTCACTCTCTCTCTCTATCCCCTTTCTAAAAGAAAATATCAGTGGAAAAAGTAGTCTCAGGTGAGGATTACCATATACAAAAAGAAAGAAAGAAAAAAGAAAACTACAAGGAAAGTACATTCACAGTATTTATGGAAAAAAATCCACATATAAGTGGACCTCTACGGTTCAAACCCATGTTGCATAATGGTTAACAGTATTGCCTTTCTCCTATGAATCTATCCTATGTCAATTTAGTTCTCAGGCCCCAGCAGACCCTAAGAGGACAGAGGTAAAGTTTTGCCTCCCTATGGTGCTAAGATCTCCATTTGAAACTGGATGCCTGGCTGGTGTGGCTCAGTGGCTGAGCATCGACTTATGCACCAAGAGGTCACCAGTTCAATTCCTGGTCAGGGCACATGCCCAGGTTGTAGGCCAAATCTCCAGCGGGGGACATGCAGGAGGTGGCCAATCAATGTTCTCTCTCATCGATGTTTCTATCTCTCTCTTCTAAAATCAATAAAGAAAAAAATGTTAACAAAAAAAGAAACAACACAAAACAAGTCTGAGGCGGCCTGTCTCTACTTGAGCCAAATTAAGTAGGGACAGGGTTGAATTACACATGAGAATTTATTCCAATAACGCCGGCAGTATGAAGAGAACAGCAGGTCATCCTGGAAATTCTGCTCTAACATCCATTAGCTGGCTGATCGCATAGCGATAAAGAAGAAGGGCTACATGCAAGGGGAAAGAAGGGCAGGATAAGGGCTGCAATGTCCGTGATCCTTGTGTCTCCTTTCAGGATCTTGAAGTCTGATAACAAGGTAGCTAATTTTCTGTGATGTTAAAAGCAGCTCCACCCAATCCTGGGACTGGAGAATGGTTAGCATTCTTGAAGCAAACTCCTGGAGACGGGTTAGGGTGCAGGCAGAGCAACCAAGTCAAAGTATGTGCTGTCCTTGGTCTATTCTCAAAATGTATTTTCTTTGCTGAGTAATGGACTCATTAGGCTCTGAGGCATCTTATCTTTTTACAGCCCTGTTTTTCTTTTTGCAACACACCCTCCAGTTTCCCAGGGTCTATAAGAAAATCTCTTTATCTATAGTTACTAAGGTGAATAATCATTAAACAACTGTGGTCCTATTCCTATTATGCGCCCTTCCCCCTACCACATTTACATGTCACACTGCTTTTATCCTCTAGATGAGTGAGGCCCAGAAAAAGCAAGGACTTTCCTAAGGTCACATAGCCAGTAAGTGGCAGAGCTTAGATCGCAACGTAAGCTTGACTCCCAAGCCTTTCTTTTTCTTTAATGTTTTATTGATTTTTGGGAGAGAGAGATAGAAACATCAATGTGAGAGAAAAACATTGATTGGCTGCCTCCTGCATGCCCCCAACTGGAGATCAAGCCCAAAACCCGGGCATGTGCCCTCACTGAGAATCGAACCAGGACCTCTAAGTCCATGGGATGACGCTCAACCACTGAGCCACACTAGCTGGGTGACTCCCAAGCCTTTCAACTACCATATACAGATGAGTGAGTCACAGATGGCTTCAAAGAAAAGACCCTTGGCCCTGGCCGGTTTGGCTCAGCGGTTAGAGCGTCGGTCTGTGGTCCAGAGAGACCTAGGTTCGGTTCCCGCTAAGGGCGCTTACCTCGGTTGCAGTTTGTCCCTGGCCCTGATTGGTCATGCAGGTGACAGCCACTCGATGTGTCCCTTTCACGTCAATGTTTCTCTCTCTCTTCCTCTCTCTCCCTCCCACTCTATCTGAACAAAAAATAGAAAAATGTCCTGGGGTGAAGATAAAAAAAAAAAGACTAGCCCACAAATGATCAGTACAAATTTATCAGACCTAGGAGGGTAAAACAGTGTTGAGCACATTAAAGTTATAAGATGGAGCTGAAACCGAGGGTTCAAGGAAGAGAGAGGGGGAAAGAGGCTGTTGCAAGCCCTAAAT